GCTCTGGCCAGCCTTTTTCATTCCAAGAGAACCAGGGTGCCGGGCCAGGGGAGGCTAACCCTACCTCATGGGGTCTGTCCAAAGGTCCCTCCCAACATTCGATCAGTGAGGGCCCAGGCCTGGCTCTGGGCTGTGCCCTCTCAGGACCAAGGAGAAAAGGGTGGTACCATCTTTTTACCTTTCTTCACGGTGGAAAGATACATACGATATAAAACATGCCATTTTAACCATTGCACGTGTACCATCCAGTGTTGGCAAGGCCCTTCACACGCATGTGCACATACACAGGACTGGCACGCAACCAGAGAAAGCCCCTCACACCGCCATCCTAGGGAATACCCACCAGGGGTCCTCACTCCCAGGTCCTCCGCAGAGTTGGGAACCCTACAAAGGGCCAGTGCCAGAAGAGCCCTTGTGATGGTCTGGACTAACCCTCCCATTATCAGAGGAGGAAACTAAGGCTGGATTGGAGAGGTGACTGGAAGCTAGTGGCATGAGATTAGATAGAGCCAGGGCTCGCTGGGATCAGATCCTTTACAACATGTCCATCAACTTGATGGGGCCCAGACCCAGAGGACAGAGGCGCCCTTCACCCCCACCACTCCCTCTGAGCAGCTCCTGATTAGACCCACAGAGCAGTGCAGCACCAGCTGCACACCTATGCCCACTTCCAGGTGCCCAGGAGACAAGCTCGGCCAGGGCTGGGCGTGAGGATGGCCCAGGTGCAGTTAGACTGTTCCTGGCCTCTGGGGGTGCGGGACATGGAACGTGCCTTTCATTTTTGATGCTAGAAATTTTATTGTGGCAAAACGTGAATGATGTAACAGTTTGTCACAGCGAGTCATTTTCAAGTGTACCATCCAGTGTTATTGGGGTGCTTCTCCAAGGTGATGGGTTCCCCGCCAAACCACTGTACTGTCACCCCTTCTCCATTCTGCTTCCTCCACGAGCACCCCACCCGCCAAGCCCTTGGGGCAGTGGAGAGGGACAGGGAAGACCCAGGGATGGGGCCTTAACCCGATCGGTCGATCGATCGATCGGCAGGCCCAGTTTAGGTCCTGGCTGATTGCCAAGACAAGATTGCTTCCCTGTCTCTGGGCCGACGTCACAAGCAGGGGAGAGTCAATAAACCCCAACGATTTCCCTCTGGCCTCACCAGCTTCTCCACCGACCTCCACTGCTCTCCTGAGGAGAGCAGAGCAAGCAGCAGTGGGGGAGCAGGGCCAGGATGGCACTGAGGGGGGAAGGGCCTTAGGATGACTTAGGATGGGCAGGTGGCTGGAGAGTCCGGGGTTGGAGTCCAGGAAGAGTGGTCCCACACTGGCACCTGCCAAAGAGAGGGAGATGTCGGGGCCTCCAGCTGCCCCCTTTCCCAGGTGAGGTCTCTCCCTCTCCCTTCTAGACTTCCTGCAGGGCCCTTCTTCACCCTTACGCGCCACCCCACCCAGTCTAGGAGGGTGGGGCCCCTGGGTGTTTACTGAAAATATACGAGGTGCCAGGCACTGGTGATGGAGCACACAAAGGCCATTGGACTTCCCCAGGTTGGAGCACTTTTAGGGAAAAGCTGGTTCCGGGACTGAGTCAGTCAAACTGATCAATATTGAGTTTTCGTGAAGGCAGAGATAGCTGAGGAATGTAAGCATGACCTTCCTACAGCTTCTTCCAAGCAGTGGGCTGAACAGTTTCAGTAAGGAGGGCAGGGAGCCCTCCTTATCAGTTCACTACTACTCCCTGGGCCCGCTCACCAGCATGGGGCTCCGTGACCAGTCACCACACTGCCCTCCCTTTCCACCGCCCTTCTTGTCCCTGCTGGGGAGGCTGGGAAACACCAAGGTGGCTTGGGCGCTCCATTGGGGCTTTGGGACTGTGGAGAATCCTCTGGACTGGAGTCTGTCCCCCCACTTCCTCTGCACTCTTGGCGAGCAGGGGCCATCACCAAGCCCATCTAAGTCAGAGAAACAGAAGCCCCAAGAGGCTAACTTAAGAGTAGCGAACTCAGGCATAGCTAAGAAGTGCGTGACCTCTCCCAGCATCCCCGCCACCTATGCCATTAAGGCCCTTTCAGGCCCTGTGCCACCCCCACCCCACCCCAAACCACTAAGAGCAGTGGTGCGCCACCTTCCTAACGCCGCAACCCTTTCACACAGGTCATGTTGTGGTGACCCCCACCTATAAAATTATTTCCATGGCTCCTTCATCACTGTCATTTTGCTACTGTTAAGAACCATCATGTGATTATCTGATCTGCAGGATGTGTTTTCATTGTTACACATCGATCCTGAAAGCAGTGAAGAATCACAAAAACATGCCACTCTCTCCTGTGAAATGTTTATTTCTAATGACAACTAAATGCCTTGTCTTGAAGCATGGTGTAGCACGGGCAAGTCTTCATGAGGGCAGTCTGTGGGTGGACCTGCATGTGGGCGGACCGGCCTAGAGATCGATCGAGGAGCGGTGTCTCGGTTCCTAAGACCATCGGAAATGTGTATTTTTCCGGTGGTTTTAGGCGGCCCCTGCGAAAGGGTCGTTCGGCCCTTCCCACCCCCAAAGAAATCTGGACCACAGGTTGAGAACGGCTGACCCAGAGGAAGAAAGGAGACGGTGAGCTGCACACAACGGCTCATCACTTTCGGTGGCGGCGGCATCTTTATTAGAAGTCTTCCCTCTAGAAGGGAACAAGGCCTTTTCCTTCCGTTAGAGGGACCTTTGATCCGGGAGGGGAATTCTGAGGGGGCAGCTGGCGAGCCTGGTCCTGGCTAACCAGGATCCAGAGACAAAAGCCCAAGTGTGCGTTGTGTACAGTGGGTGTGGAGGGCAGAGCCGGCCCTCCTGCAGCTCGTGGGAGACTGAAAACAAGGTGACCCTGAGGAAAGTACTTGACTTCGCCTGTTTCCGCCTGTGTCTGCCCCCCCTTTCCCACGGCTAGATGGCCCTACCGTCAATTTCTGGAAATCAGTGAAATGACATTGGACACAGAACATGTTGTCGCCTTGGAAAACCCTGGGATTCTTCCTTCTCTGAAATGGGGAGCCTAAGTCCACTCCTCCCAACAGAGGGGGCAGCAGCCACCCAGACATCACCGTTAGAACTATGTCCCGAGCCTGCGGAATTCCCGGCTCTGGCCAGCCTTTTTCATTCCAAGAGAACCAGAGCCTTTCAGGCCCATCGTCGACCCGGACGGGAGGTGAGAGATGAAAGGCTGCAGCCGGAGCTGTGTTGTGCTGCTATAGCCTCATTCTTGATAAACAGTCTCCAAGTCACAAGTGGGCACAGGGTGACTTAAAGCCAAATCGGAGACAGAGACCCCACCATTAAAATAAGAACCAGAGATGTCATTCAAACAGAAAGAGACCAAGAGTCTCCACCAGTTATAAGGAAGGGACAGGTTTGCTGTTTAAAATGGCCAGAAAAAATAAATAATAAAATGGCCGGAATGCACAGGGAAAAGAGCCAGTCAGGGGGCAGTACAGCACCTATGAAGCACCCAACTTTGCTCTAGCTCTTTGGTGCTCCCTTCACCCACTCTCATGACCTCAACTCTACCTCACAAATCGGATTCAACCACAACATGCACACAGCTACAGATAGGAGCTCACACCACAGGGAATCCAGGATCGATAAACCCCTCAGGGCCAACAAGGAGAGTAGAGATCCCAGTAGGATTATAGGGGGTGGTGGGGGGAGAAAGGGGAGATTGATCACAAGGATCAATCTAGAACCCCCTCCCAGGGGGACAATAATGGAAAATGAGTGACGGGGCGAGGGAGGATGATGTAAGATATGGAAGTAATAATCTATAACTTATCAAGGGTTCCTGAAGGAGGGCGGGGGAAGACATGGGGAGCTGCTATCCGGGGCTCAAGCGGGAAGAGAATGCTTTGAAAATGACGATGGCGGCATATGTGCAAACGTGCCCGACACACTGGAGGAATGCATGGATTGTGATGAGAGCTGTAAGAGCCCCAGTGAAAGTATTTAAAGAAAAGAAAACGGCTGGAATGAAGTGGGTGTACTTGTCCATGAGTTTAAACAAGAGCCCTGGATGGGAAGCTAATGCGGTGGGGTAGGAAAGCTAAGCTCACCGGACCAAACCCTGCTGGGCATGTCAAAGTGGGGACTGGCAGTCTCCCAGGGACTACCTTAGGGAGGGCTCTCCTGGTGCCCAGTGACAGGGGCCTCCACAGAGGCTGCCCGGAACTGAGCTGGCCAGCGCGTGCAGGTGGGGAGTACTTTCTTCACCCTGTGAATGAAACGTGGGATTCTGAGGAACTGAAGCGGCCATCCTCTCAGGGGGTGAGGAGGCTCTTACATCTGGGGCAGTCAACTGCTCTGACCTGCGGTTTGGTGTTCTTTGTTTGATTGAGTTTTAAATTATCTTAGACCTGGAAAGATCAGTCCCTTTTTCTGTTTTCCTTTTATCCTGAAGTCCAGTACCCCTTATTTCCAGAAACGCCGTGCTGTGCACGTACATGGTCAGGCGTCTGCCAACGGTTGCCAGTCAGCTTCTGGGACATGTAGGTCCCGATGACGCTGGGACTCACAGCCCACCCCCACCCTCCACCTGGTCCCCAGCAAGATGGAGCCAGGCACCCAGCGGTGGATTTCCATCCGTGCCCCACCACCTTGCTCCAGGGGGACCTGCCTGCCAAGCTCTGTGCTGCCGGCTGGACTTTGCTCAGCACCAACAGCTCATTCGGATACACGCTCCCCCAGATGATCCCCATTTGTGTCCCCCCCCCAACCCATTTGTGTTTTTAAGGCACACCTCCTCCTCTGTGTAGAGCTTTCTGTTTGTCATGAATTATTTTAATGGTTCTTATCATTCAAAAGAAACTTCTGTATCAAAGTCACCCCACTGCACCTCTGTCCCGTCATTCAGTCCCCCCACCCCCCAAAGCTGACAGGGTGAGGATGAGGGCAGAGCCCCAATTAACATCAGGGATTCTGGTCATTGGGGTCACATTTGAGCATGACTTTCAATCCCACTCCCTTTCTGGATGTTTCGAAGGCGTCCAGAGCTTTCTCCAGGGGAAACCGATGGGTGACTAAGGGCCGAACGTTCACGGACTTGGATGCCAGCATGGATATCGCCATGGGCCACCTGTAAAAGACCATGAGCAACTGCATTGAACCGGCAGGAGGGAAAGAACCAGGCCCCCCAAATTACCAAGTGCAGGACCAACTTGGCCAGACTTAGGAACTGCACTGTGGTTCCGCAAGGCTGGTTTTACAGACCAGTCATGGAGAAGATGACCTTATGACTTGTGACTTAGACATACAGAGCGTGCTTCCAAAAGCCCCTCCACCCCCAGTGTCTTTGATGAAGCCTAGAATTCTTTCAGCACTGGCATAAGGCGCAAGGCAGCCAGCGTGAAAAGGCAGATAAAATTCCGGGAGGCACCCCAGGACAATCCAGCCCCACCTACCACAGCACTCGAGCTCCGGAGAATTTGCTGGAAAACCAGGCCTGTGCTGAGAGAATGGACTTAAGACTACAGCTAGGAGAAAGGGGCATTGGTGGGGACGGATGTCCCAGACAGAGGGCCCTAGCCAGGGAGAGGACGGGGCAGGGTGAATGAAGACCCTCTGACTTTCCCAGGTGGCCCGGGGGCTCAGGAGAGGAATCCAACAGACTGGGTTCTTTTATTTTTTGTCTCCTGGCTCCCTTAGAGATCTGGCCACTTACATCAAAGAGCGGGGTCTGAGGGATGTGTGGTAGCCGTCCAACAAGAGAAAATGCCTCAGCCACCCCCCCCTCCTCCCCTCCCCCTGCCATCTTTGTCTTCCCAACCTCTCAGCTAGAGTGGGTGTTTCCCCTCTGCATGCCTATCATATCTCCGAGCTGTCACTGTGGTCAGTGAATAAACAGGCAGAGTCTCAGCCCCAGGGACCTGCCCTCACCTTGCTGCCCACTTACCACCCCTGGCTCACCCATGACCCACTCACGTGTTGCAGTAGCGAAACACGCCCTTGATGTCCACTTCTCGGATGGCTGCGTGCACCAGGGGCACAGTGGTCATCTCGGGGCCCAAACCCACAAGCACCAGGGTGCCTCCCGAACGTGTTGCCTGAAGAGGGGTGAAAACAAGGGCATTCAAAAGATAAGACAGAGTTCCCACTCCCGATACCACGCCGTAGCCACACAAAGGTGTCCAAACTGCATTAGGTGAGTATCTCATAATCCAGTACCGGAAAGGAGTCTCTCCCTGTTCAAATAAGGACGAGTGGTGAGAACAATATGGAAGCAAAATGGCCACACACCCATCAGTCTCCATTAACCCTGAGACCAGAAGAACTAGATGGTGGCCGGCTACCACTGCCAACTGCTCTGAAAAAGCATCCCATCAGAAGGCCCTGGATAAAGTGGACCCAAAACTCAAAAATCATAAATGAGACCAGGTATACTGCTCAGACAGACTAGTGAGACCAACAAGACTAGGGCGCTTGGCCATCCTGCAGGTCTGCAACCGAGTTCACTGTCATAGTAGAAAAACCAACCGCCTGGGACCACCAGGGCAGCATTCACCCAAGGGGCAAACCAGGCCAGAGGGCTAGGGGGAAAGGAAGAGTGGAAACAAGAGACCGGAGGAGGAGGTGACGGGCACTGAGGATATTGTACCAGGTGAGCTGGCAAAAGAGGTGTATGAAATATCAGATGTAAATCGGATGATGTGCTCTGTAAACCCTCACCTAATGCACAGTAAAAAGTTTTTTAAAAGCAAGGAAGGGTGGGGAGGTGGGTGTGAAAAAAAAAAAGCAAGGAAATTAAAGGGGGAGGAAAGATTCTAGACTGCTGGCCTCTAACATTTTAGGCAATGAAACAGCAGAATAAACAATGCTTCCTTTTAAAATCCTGAAGGAGCAAAACAAAAAGGTCACTGCCATTGAGTTGATGGCAACTCATCGCGACCCATATCGGACAAAGCACAGCTGGCCCTTGGTTTTCTCCTCTGAGGGGTTTGAACTGCTGACCTTTCAGTTAGCAGCCCAATTCCTAACCTACCAGCCCACCATGGGTTCTGCTAAAATGATATACTTTGTCAATGGAGATGAAGGAGTCTCTTCCAACATTGAGACAAATATCATTGGGGCCTCAAACGAGAATCTTCCTTAGACAAAATGAATATCCAGCAGTGCCCTGGCACCTTCCGGGGTTTTGCTAATTCATTACCAGGTACTGGCTCCAGCCAGTTCCACATCTCAGCCCAGTTCCTCCTCCAGGTGCCCCTCTGCAAGAGAACTCTGAATCGAATCTCAAAGGACCATCCTGAGATCCCTAGTGGGGAGGTAAATGAGGAACCGTCAAGCTCTATATAAACGGGGAGGGGTCCTTTCAATGTTGTGGTATTAGAAGGCTAGGGTTTCAATCTTGTTTTAAACATGCAGGCTGGCATTTAGAAATGATTGACAATGTACAGATGTGCTTGATACAATTGATGGATGGATTGTTATAAGTTGTAGCAGCCCCCAATAACATGATCTTTTAAATTAAAAAAAAAAAGGTTTCGTGCCCCAAAGACTTTGCGCCAGTAGTCTTAGCCATCATGAATTCTGCCTTCCTGTCTTATGAAGCCCCTCCTTGGAGAGAGCCAGGGCTGACAGGGAGATTTCTCCTGGCAATGTCCACATCCTCTACCTGGGGGTTCTGTCCGCTCTGGAGGCTTTTGAAGATCCGGTGCCGGATGTTGTGAGAGACAGAAAGGTGTGCATGCCCTCCCTTCAGAGCCTCCACGCTAGCCATCATTAGTGGTAAGCACTCACTCAGACGGTTCTCAAGGCTGGAGAGTGGATCTACCACAAGACAACTGTACAGTCCGCAGCCCCAGGTGAAGGATCCCCCCGAGGTGAAGGATCCCCCGTGCAATGCGGTGAGCAAGAGGCAGCACTCGGGGCCGGAGCAGTAGGAGGCTGATTTCCGATGCTTCCCTGCCGGCCGGGCTCCTCATTCGGAAGGACACTATGCTGTCGGTAACGGGGATGGGATCTCCCAAATAGAAAATGGTACTCTCCCCATTTTGATAACTGGGGGTGGGGGTGAGGGGCGGTTGTTTACAGTTGGAATGTGCTGCACAGTCGTGTCGATTGAGAGATTTTCTATGAATCATTCTTTCTCATCAGAAATTCCTCTCTGTCTGGCGACGAAGAGGAGCGGTCTCTACCTGGCCAGGCCAGCTGTTTGCACATGGGGCAAAAGCATGCTCCCTCTAGCTGACCATGGTGCGGGTGTGGCCGCGGCACCAGGAACACACAGCAATTCTGCCCCAGAGCACCCGACGTCGCCTGCTGAGCACGTTCTCATCACGGCCGGATCAGGAAGTGCCTCCGCTTCTCCTGCCTGTTGGTGGACGGCAGCCTGGAGCATTCTGCAGTGCCTGCCATGCGTGATGGCTCTGCTCCCCGCCTCAGGAGGGGCACCTGCGTCAGGGCTGGTGACATCCTCAGACTCATCCTCCACACCCACCTGTCGCTCGACAGCCTGGCTGCTGGAGCCCCTCCACCCACAGCAAGAGATGCCCACTGTCCCCAGAGTCCTCAGGGCAGGGCAGGGAAGGAAGGCAAGTCTCGTTTTGGAAGTCATGCTGTTCAGACACCTCGGCTCAGGCTGCCTCAAAGACAGAGGACCCCGCCCCCACTTCCTCGTTTTCACAGCCCCCAGTGCCCAGCGTGAAGGCTGGCAAGCAGCAGGGTCCCCGAAGCACAGCAGGGGTCAAATGTGACCCTTCCCACCTGGTGGTCAGTCTCAGACCCTGGCACTGGGAACTGGCTGACTTTAGTTGATGCTCAGGACAGAGAAACGGTGGTGTGTGCTTCTCCCTGCCTCCCACCACTGCATGGTCCCCAGATGCCCAGGGAGAAGGAGGGTCGGGCAGCCACCTAGCCTGAGGAGGCATGGTCCCCCAGAATGGTTTGTGTGGTGCCAAGTGCCCGGGTGTGTGAATCAGCATTGGCTCAGAAGGAAGGAGGAAGTCAGCGGCATCGTGGGGAAGCAGTTACAGGACAGGGGCAGGAGTCCCTGGGGGTGGCTACAGGCCCCTCCCTGCAACACAGTAACCCAGGCCTGGCCCTCTGCTCCTGAAGAGAAGGGGAAGTGGGTGTAGGGGAATCTCAGGCTCTGGGGTCAGGTCAGGCTGGGCTGCAGCCTGACTTGGCCACTTACCAGCTCCGGGACTCAGGTATTGTCCATAGGGAAACTGGTCAATACTTTTCAGTGCCCTGGGGAAGGATGAGGGGGCTGTCATCGTTATAAAGTACCTCACTGAAGACTTGGCACACGACAGGATGCGGAACCTAGGAATTCCCTCGCTCCCTCTTTCCATCATACTTTGATCAGCTGCGCCACTTCCTCAATTCCCTGCCCACTTCCAAGAAGCGCTGTGGGTCAGGACGAATGGGGCGTTGGCAGCTTATCTGGGAGAAGCCGGCAGTCTTCTGAGCAATCACCTCGCCTTTGTGACTGAATCGTAGACTCCAAAACGGCAGTTTTCCTCAATAAAACAAGCATGGGAATTCCCACGCGCAGCCCCAGTTCCCTGTTCCTCTGGGTCCTTTCTGCAGGCGCCCTGCTTGCAGGATCTCGCAGATCCCCTCTGGCTGCTCCCACATACAGCCCACTGGAGGCGCTTCCCATCCTAACGAGGCCCCCTGCATACCTAGGATCTCATTTGAACACTGAGGGGGACACAGGCAAGGACGACTGTCTCTACAGAGAGGTAAGAGAATAGTTCAGTTTGAGCTCACTGAGCAAGTCAGTGGGAAGCTTGGCGCCAGAAATCCCCCTTTCTACTCTGCTCCCTGCCCACGACCCGGGGTTCCCAAAGCTGCCCGGCCAGCCCGAGCCCCCTCCCCTCCCACTCACGTAGATGCCCGCCTGGATGGCAGCCTCGGCCCCTGTGCACTCGATGCTGACTTCCGGCTTGCACCCCAGCAGACCCTCCACTTTGCTGGCGACTTCCTGGGGGCTCTCCTTGGAGACCTGGAGGGTGAGATCTGCCCCGACTTCCTGGGCTTTGGCCAAGCGAGAGGCAGACAGGTCTAAAGAGGAACCAAACAAGTTTTCTTTCAAACTGAGAAGCTGGAGAGATGATGAGGGGAAAAATAAGATGGAAGGGCAGGTTCTGATGCCAACAGAGTTCTCTACATCTCCACGCTCCCCCTACCCCCACCCCTTCACATAGACACGCTTCTCTCCCAGATCCTATACATCACTGTAGCCGCTCTCTCCTGTATACACGCTCAGCTCTTTATAATCCCCCATCTCCATCCATCCATCTCAGACAAGTCTACCACACACATACATACATACATATGCACACATGGTCACAGACACCTCTCCGCACACATACTCAGCCTCACAGAAAGGCTGCCCCACAGCTCCCACACGCACCAAGAGCCTTGCTCACCCACCCCTGTCGCTGCCGTCAAGTAGATGCCGAATCAGCTCCACCCGAGAGGGTTTCCCAGACTGCACATCTTTATGGGGGCAGGCAGTTAACCTCCTCTTTCTCTGGAGGTGTGCCTGGGGTTTGAACTGCCAACCTTGTGGTTAGCAGCCCAACGCTTAACCGAGAGAACTACCAGGGCTTCTTGCACAGACCCCCCCACCTTACATACCTGACAACTCCCCACCCCCATGCCACCACGCCGTTCATTCCACTTTACACACACAAGCACGCCCTCTTGCCCCCACAGGCTTGGTCCAAGGTACCAAAAGCAGGCTCTCCGGGGCTCTCCATTTTTAGAGTTAAAAGGACAGTGTAGGCATACTCCATCTTATTGCATTTTGAAGATAATTGTTTTGTTTTTTTACATATTGAAGGTTGGCATCAACCCTGTGTTGAACAAGGCCATCTGTGCCCTTTCCCAACAGACTCTGCTTAGTTCATGCCTTTCTGCCACGTGTCCGCAGTTCTCACAATGTTTCAAATGTTTTCGTGATGCTATTCTGTGTTGGGCTGCTAACTGCAAGGTCAGCTGTTTGACCGCAGCTGTGGGGCTACCGTCTTGGAAACTCACAGGAGCAGTTTCCCGGCCCCTCGTGTTACCAAGACTCAGGACTGACTTGATGGCAGCAAGCCAGATCGTTTATTTACTACAGACATAATAGCCCGCAGTAGAGCGTTAATAAAACTTTCATAGGCCCAGGACACAAAAGATAATGTGACTCACTTTATTGCACAGATCTAGAAACCGAACCCTCAATATCTCCTAGGTATACCTGAGGGCATCTGAGGTCCCCATATAAAGAGGCAGGTCCCCTTCTCTATAACAATCCCTCCACCCCATCCTCTGCCCCCGCCCCTCAGGAGAAACCGGAATAGGCCCTCCTCCTGAGTCTGCCTCGGTCGCTCCCTAGTGAGCTTTTAAATTCTGGTGGGTGGAGGCGATCCTTGAGGAGCCCAGTATCCCACAAAGGAGATGGTTCGCACGCCCCTGGCCCAAACCATAGGCCCGGCAATTTCCTCCTTGAAGAGATTCAAACAGAAGAAAACCTCCTTACCAGTCACCACCACTTGAGCCGCTCCCATTGCCTTGGCCACAAGCAAAGTGACCAGTCCGATGGGCCCTAAGCAAAGCAGAAAATGGGAGACTTGTGAACTATTTCATATTTAGTATCCTGCCCAGGCCAAGGAGAGGAACCATGTCTTTCAGGCATCTCTAGCAGTTACCCCAAAGCCTGGTATGCAGTGAGACTGTCACATAGTGATGCTTGTAGAATGCATGTGTGGGCCAATAATGCACGGTGAGCTGATCCTCTGCATGAAACATGCTCTGGGTCCTGGGTTCCATGGGAGCCTTATATACCTTGAATCCCTTACATACCTTGGAGTTAGAAATGTCTCATTCACTCTTGGACACTGCTTGGGGAATAAGCTCAACGCACCAGAAGATTCAAGGAAATGTCTATTTGTTCAGAGAACAAGAAAGCTGGCGTTCTGGGCATTTCCCTCCTCTCCTCTCTCTTAGATGCCCACCTTCTTGAGAACCCACTATGAGATCTATTCTAGGTGCCCTCTGAGGGTCACCCTGGAAGGAGTCCTTAAGGAAGCCAGCTCCCTGCGCTGCCCCCGCTGGCTGGTCTACGCGGCGCCGTTGTCCAAGACCTAGCTTGGAAACTCCCTTTCTTCCTTAATCATCTGTCCTGGATGACGCTACAGTTTTCATATACAATCTGAACCTATAGAATGAGGCGATACAGAACTTCTTTGGGGACTGGCTTTTCCCCCTCGTTTTTAATTTTTTTTAATAAGCCTTTTTGAAGACAATTTTGTTGGCTTCTCAAGAAACCAAGGGAAAAAAACCCAGGTAAAACCTTAAACTGAAAAATAGTTGAATTGTCCACAATGGAATCCTTCAATGAAACTATTAAAATTGTGCCTTAACTATTTATAATTTGACATGAAAAAATGCTTACAATATATTGATCGGTGGGGGGTGGGGAAAGAGTAGGTATAATCAGGCATATATCCAGCATGATTTCATTAAAGAAAAAGTACAAAGAATTGAGATTTTATTCCAAGATGCCAACCGTGTTTCTCTTAGGCTGATGGGTGATGGGTAAATTTGCATGTGTGTGTGTGTGTGTGACTTATTTTCCATGGCAAAAAGCTATTACAGATAGCTTTGCCCCCACCGTGGAAGCTTTATTTTGTACCCTCAGCCTTGTGCTCACTTATTTGGCCTTGCCAAAAAATGCCACTTACAAATGCACCTGGGGAACACCAGATCACGCCTTCTCTTCATTTGCCCTCCTTCTCCTCGAACCCAGCTTTCTGTCTGGGTTGGCAGCTGCTAGAAGCCTAGACTGATCGCTTCTGAGGTAGGGGGGCTCATTCTGGGTGGCTGGGAGCCGATGAGAAGGCAACGAGCTGCACCCCATGTGCAGGCAGAGTGCTGGTCCGTGGTGGGCTGGACGCTCTCCTCCCACTGGCCCTGGGTAGGGTCTACCTCATTCATGAACTGAGTGGGCGTGACTTATAAGACCCTGAATGTGCCTTTCCTTCACCACGAAAAGTACAGTTCATAATCATCCCAAGGTTAATTTTTGTAAGGAAGAGAATAGGCTGTGTTGCTTAGGATATATAATCTAAATTATCACCATGTCTGTGGTTGCTAGTTTAGTTTGAAAAGTTCTGTTCATTGAGGAAATGGAAGACTATTATCTTTCCCTGCCCAGAAAGATTCCAGAATCAACCTTGGAGGGAGAGGGGATGGCAAAGGAGTCCCGCATTCCCAGTCGAGACTCCCGTAACAAGGGTGTCACCAGTTACTTACCAGCTCCACATACAAAGACCTTGTTGCCCAGGGTGACTCCTGCTCGCCGGCAGGCATGGATCCCCACCGACAGTGGCTCAATCAGGGCTCCTTCCTCAAAGG